TGGTCAGAAGCTCAGTAATGGCTGTGCTCTGTAGGCTGAGCTGATGACAGGAGTTACCTGGTAGCAATGGGATGGCAGAGGTCAGGAAACAGTGCTTAGCTTCAAAAACCATGTAAAGAGAACTGCAGAAAGGGTGAGCAAGTTTGGAATGGCAGCCAGGGAGGTGTGACATCCAAGTATATACAGAGAAACCCTGACCAGGTAGCTCAATTGGTTAGAGTAACAACCCAATATGCCAAGGTTGCAGGCTCAATCCCCATTCAGGGCACATATAAGAATCAATCAATCAATGCATAAATAAGTGGAACAACAAATCTCTCTCTCTCTCTCTCTCTCTCTCTCTCTCTTTCTCTCTGTCTCAAAATTTTTATAAAAAGAATATACAGAGATAGCTAACAAAACACAGTGTCTATAAGAACATTATAGACAGATTATAGACAGACAGCCAACAAAAAATTAAACTAATTGCTTTACTATAAGACTGCTCAAATCTTATAATAGGTTGAGGTACATTTGTGTCCTCTAAGACAGGGAATCCTTCTTTTCTTTAAGAACCCCCCTTCTGGGATTGGTGTTTTACAAATAAAAATGCTACACAGTTCATTGTTCAAAATATTTATGGAGTGAATGCACATATGAACACATAATTGGTTCCTTAGTACAACTTCATATAGGCATTAGACATAGCTAGATCTCCAAAGCATTTTTCCAATGCCTACATCCTGGGAGAAAATAATGAGGAAAATATTGATCTAGTAAAGAAAGAATAAATTTGCTAACAGACTGGCCAAACCACAAACTAAACTCAGAGAGCTCAGGAGCAGTCAGCATTTGACATGTCAGCAAACCATTCACCCTCCTCCCCCCCCCCCCACAAAAAAAAAGCTTACACAGTCAGGACATCAAGAAAAATGACTTTGGGGAAATTAATGGAACAATGTATAGAGAAGAGGAGAAAGTCAATAATGAAATCAGTCCAATTTAAACAGCCCAGGCCAAGACCACAAGGTAAAAAACTTATTTTAAGTTACATTCAACACTGGAAATAAGTCCCCCTGATTTATTTAGCATTCCAGAAGCTAAAGAGCAATAAACAACTACTTCAAGTGCATTACGTTATCGTCAGAGTTATATGCTTCAATGATTCAAAGCTGGGCACAATACAATCCAACAGCACACAGTAAGCTTTGTCCCTTCCGTCTGACTGCCTACATGATCCCACCACGGCATCAACATAAAGGCTCCAACCGTCATAATAGGTAATTTCCCTTCCACCAGTAGGCAAACTATCAGAGGGAATAAATCCAACATTAGCATTAGTTCCGAAAGAAAGACATTCATTTTTCAACAGCATCTGTTTTCTGCCTCGGGCTCTGTTGTTCGAACTCTTCAGGAACAATCTCTGCTCTGTTCCTTTGGAAGATGTCTCTTCCACTGAGCTCCAAACCTTGCTGGCAGAACATCGTGACTCACACTTTCAAGTGCCAGTTGCTCCCTTTCCAGTCCCACTGTTACCCAGATGTAGACTTCATCGCATGTTCAGACGACTGCTATAGACTCAATGAGTCACCCAACCTAACTCTCTCACCAGTTAATGCTCTCCTTTATACCTCTCCTGCCCTTTCCTGTTTAGAAACTGCCAGCAATATAGTGCGCCATTAATGAAGATCCATGTGAGAGGATCCAAGAGGTAGTGAGAATATGTGGAGCTGTGGAGTCAAACAGACCTCAGGTTCAATCTCAGGAGGCTAGCTGAGTGTTCTTGGGGAAGTGACTTCACCTTCTTGGGCCTTAGATGCCTCATCTGAAAATGGGAATAAACCTTGATGTTGTAGGACTTTGTGCATCCTCTGAGAATGTATACAGGGTGCCTGTCACCATGTCCAGCATACAGTAGGCACTCTATAAGGCAATATATATATATACACATACAGGGTTGGGTAAAGGTAGGTTTACAGTTATTAGTATGCAAAACACAGAGTTTGTTCTTGTATTATTAATTAGTAATTATTATATTATTTTTCCATATGAACAACTGTATAGACAGCTCCACCAAATCTCAACAAAATTTTCAATATGCGCCTTTTAGTCAAATGATCAAGGACTCAAATATGTTATAGAACCTGTTGAAACTAAAAACATGATTTTAAAGGTCCTTTCCAGTTCTAACATTTCATTTCTTACTGGACTATAGGATGATTTTTTTCTATGAGACTCCCAAAGTCATGGAACACAAAATTAAAGGTAAAATTATCCTCTAAAATGAAAGAAAGGACTTTCACCAAGTGTAAAAGTGAGAACTAGAAAAAGAATAAAGTTCACTAGAAAAGACCATTTTTTGAGTTCTCAGAATGAATATTCCATTGGTTTAATATGAAGTTTGAACTCTATTTAATTCCAGAAATTTCTGCTGAATGTCCACCATGAGTCAGACCCCATCTTCAGTCCCAGGGGAACATTTGCAGACTTAAAACAAGGGACTTACTAGGTCAGATTTGCATTTGGGAAAGGTCACTGGAGGGAGTGGAGGTGAGTGGAGGAATAAGATAAATGGGGAGACGGAGGGGAAGGTTTAGGAGGTTACTGAAAAAGTCCAGACAAATATTCTGGTGGCCTGACTCAGGGTGTGCTGATGGAGGCGAAAGGGAATGGATAGTTCTGAGAGGTACGCAGGAGAAAGAAACCCTAAACTTGGGGCCTGGTTGCAAGACACATGAACAGTGGGATTACATTCGGAACAGTGTGTGTGAGCATCGGTGACATACAGGGAGGGGGTGAACTGAATGCTGTTCAGAAGCAGGTTCTATCCGTAGGACCAGCTGAGGATTGGGTTTATCCTTGAATCCTCCCCAGAAATCTGCACAGGAGAAAAACAAGAGGCTGGACAAGAAGATGCATGTCTGAGGTAAAGGGAAAAACATATTTGGTCCTAATAGGGTGGTGGGGGGAGGAGGGAAAGAGGAGGAATGTTCTGGAGCAATCTGCCCGGAGGTGAGGACTGGTTTGGGAGGCTGCCAGTATCTGCAGCAAGATGTTAATGAGGGTTATCAGCTGTCCCTGAAACAAAGGCAGGCAGCATTCTGGCAGCCACGGAGCTGGAACCAGCCAAAACCTGTGTGAGTGTGTGTGAGTGTGTGTGTGTCTGTGTGTGTGAGTGTTTGTGAATGTGTCTGTGTATGTGTGAGTGTGTGTATATGTGAGCGTATGAGTGTCTCTGTGTTCATGCCCCGGAAGAAACACCAGGCATACTGTGTACAGATATCCTCAGAAAACCAATGGTCATGGTGCAACCTGTGGACACCCGTGACACAAGACAGACACCCTCAAGTAGGGAGGGTTGGCACTTCTCGGGGGGGGGGGGCTATTTGTATAGAGCTGCTTCATTCTTCTTTCATCTCTGGCAGAAAGGGGGACCCTTTTATCCTTCCACAAACATACACCAACCACACACAGTCACGCCACCCCAGAGGTCTTCTCTGCACTGAAGGCCTGTCCTTTCTTTGCTTGCCAATACATATTTACACATCAGGGCTTATATTTAAGCATAGTCCTCTTACTATTCCCATAAATGGTGCTCGTCCAATGTGCTAAGAGCCAGATATCAAACGGGGAGGCCCAAGGACGTCTCTCAGGCAGTAGTTTGGCATTTCACCCTGTTTGACAGCAGGAATCCACTCGGTGGTCTAGGTGGCCTGGAAAAGACTGCCTTCTTCTAGAGATCTCGGTAGCAAAGACGGTAAAAGCATTCACTTTGCAAGCAGGTAGGCTGGGCTGAGCGGTGGCTTTTCCACTGATCTTGGGTCTCTGACTTCATATCCCTGCCTCAGTTTCCTTCCCCGAAACATGGGAATACTAACCAGGAGGAGGAATCACCATTATCCCCATTTCACACATGGGGAAAGCTGAGGCACAGAGAGATTGTCTCAGATGAAGCCACTAGTGGATAGCACAGCTGGAATTTGAACCCTGGCAGACTGGCCACTCCCTGCACTGCCTGCCATACTTACGCAAAATTTCTTCTGTAACCCTCCGAACGACTCTGCTAATGAGAACTTGGACAAATTCTTAACCCACTCAGTCTTCATTGGCTCAAGAGAAAATAAGGTTTTGTTATTGCAGTCCCCATAGGATATCTTAGGAAATAACCAAGGGATAATGCAGGTGATAATAGGATTAGCCGTGCGCCTGAGCAGTTGCAAGCACAGTGATAAAGAAAGCACAGTGGTAACGGTAACCAGGTTGCTAGCATCACAGCATCCATTTGACTTTAATTACTTGTTTCTGTGTTTGTGATTTTCTCGAACTACATGCCTAGTACGTGTTCCGGGTGGACAGAAATTCTATTCCTTTGTTGTTGTTTTTTAAATCCTCACCCGTGGATATTTTCCCATTGATTTCTAGAGAGAGTGGGAGAGGGAAAGACAGAGAAATATCGGTGTGAGAGAAACACATCAATTGGTTGCCTCCTGCACGCGCCCTGACCAGGGCCCAGGCCAGGGAGGAGCCTGCAACCGAGGTAGGTGCCCTTGGCTAGAATCGAACCCAGGACCTTTCGGTCCACAGACCAACGCTTTATCCACTGAGCGAAACCAGCTCAGGCAGGAATTCTCTTTCTTATTTGACCTTGCACTCCCAGCCTTTAGCAACCTGACACAGACCTGGAACAAACTGTGCTTTCAATGTTATTCATTGATGAATGAATAAATGGCTTTAATACTGCCTTTCCCTTGGATTGCTGTAAGGATTCAATGAGGTAATGTATGTAAAACAGCTAGTACAATGTTTTGGCTTGAGAATTCCACCCAATTAGTGTCAGATCTTTCCCCTTTGCCACCAGAGCACATTACCTGAGACAAACACACTGGAATCACATGGTCCAGCGAGTAACACACAGAATGTCTGGGCTCCTCTGATGAGCACAAACATCCCAGCCAGAACCCGTGCACCACGTGACGTGGGCAGGTGAACTGAAGAGGAGCACCAGCTGGGATCCACCCTGAATCACGGAGAACCACGCTGTGGGCATGTTTGAAAGTCTGGAGAGCGGGAAAGGGAAGGCACTTGATGTATTGACTGATTACAGTGACTAATTAAGTCCATGCACGGTACACACACAGGCAGCTCTTACTTACTGGGTACCAGGAAAGAGTTTGGCAGAGATGAAGGAAAGCGCAGCCAGTCCATCCATGAGCCAACGTGCTGCATCTATAAAGGGATGAATCAGCTGAGCACAATTGGAAACAGAAACTGCCGACAATGTCCAGAAACTCTAAATAGAAATAGTTGTTCAGAAACTAAATAGAAATGTAGTGGACCGTTGGGCAAAAAATATCTCTTGCTCAAAATTGCTCAGAAAATAGCTAAAAGCAAGACAACAGGCAGTGCAAACAACATGGACTTGGGCTTCAGACAGACTTCCTTTCCAGTCTTGGCTCTACCGACTGTGGCCTGAGACAAGGCAACTAACGCCTCTGAGCTTCCCATATCCTCATCTGCAAAATAAAGAATCCTCACTTCGCCAAGGTATGAGAAGCTTAATAAATAATTTGTATAAAGGCACTGGCAAGTGGTGTGTCTGCTACCATCACCACCACCACCACCTAAAGGCATCCACCCTGATTAGAGGGTCCATACCACCTGGAATCAGTGCACTCATATCTTCCCTCTTCAGTGGCTCTAGTGGTTGTATTCTTCTGTTTTGCTGTGACTCATGTATTACTATAACTTACCCAGGGCTTGTAATAGGACAAGTGGCAAATAAGAACTCAGAGATGGAAGGTCCTCAAACAAGATAAGCCACTCCAGAAATAAATGACACGGCATTGGCTGGGTTGGGGGGGTGAGGTTAGGAATAGAAGGGGCTGGCATGAACCAAGGAAGCTGGAAGAGGGCAAAGAAGGAGAAAAGAGGCAACAGTAAGAGCTCTAGGGGAGAACTGAAGGTCAGAATTGGCTCAAATAAGGGAGAGGAAGCTGAGTAATAATGCATCATTACCTGCTTCATTGATTCTCCACCTGGGGCTGTCCACCCACACTGCATTATGGAAGGCTGGCAACAGCCAATGAGAAGCAAGCTAATTCATGACTGACAACCCTGGAATATCTCCGGAAGTGGAAAAGCAGATAATGCAGGAGGTAGAAAATGAATCTAGCCTGGAAACAGGGGGCTGACTAAACATCCACATAGTAAGAGCTTTAGACACAGGAGTCGTCTACCCCTCAGGTAATGGTGGGCAGGAGACAGAGTGGGTCTCTGGTGAATCTGGACCAGCAAGTCTCTAGACTTGCCTTTCTCCAACCCTTGCAATAATTCTTATGATGTGAGGAACTTAAAAATTATTATATGTACAGTTCATGGTACAGAAATATAATCAGTGACTTTAAGCTATTACAACCCAATAATAATTTCTCAATGCTCTTCTGAGCAGAGAATGTTTTCTGCAAGTCTGTTTGTTTTGCCTACTCAATTAGCCTAATCTTTTTCTGTGGTTTCTCCCTCCCCATCAAGAATAGCAACTCTAATGCAGCTCAGGAATGTTTTTTGCTTCCTATTAAAATTTTTTAAATCATGTAATTAATTTTACTATCCAAGATGCTAGTAAGATCTGGTCTATGGTATATGACATATGGGGGATTTTTGTTCTTTAAAACCAAAAATACATTGTTAAGCTAAACTTTATTGGAAAAAAAAGGCAATTAAATGTAACTTAAATTTCTTGAAACTAATCTTTCTTTTTGTAAATTTTTGAACTTCATAAAGAGAACACAATTTATTTGTGCCAAATAGTTGGCTTAAAAAATGGAATTTAATTTTTCTGAAAGCAGGTTTCATAGATTTAATCGAAAAAAAAGTTGTAAATTATTTTAACGAATGCTATTTGAATCATGGAAATGTATTGATACTGTTGACTAGTAAAGCTATGGAAATCATAAACCAAAGCAATATAAATAAAAATAAACCCTAGGACAATTTATAGAAGACATCGAAAAAATCAATTTCTTACTAACATTATCAGGCTTAACTGTAGGCCTAGCTGTACCAAAATAATTATAGACATGTGCTTATTTCTTGATTTCTGATAGGCCTGAGTGTACACAAAAAAAATTTATATTGGAATTAAAAAATAAATTTTAACTTTGTAATGTGATACCTGGGTTATTGTTGTTGTTATTATTTACTAAACAAATACTCAATTTTTGGTCCAACTTGTGATAAGTACACAAGATTTTATTTCCAACTGTAGTGAGACCATTTCTGTCCTGGCTCTTGACAGATGTTAAAAGGAAAAACTTGGTCACACACGTGGGAAGCTGAAGGCTGTAGAAAAATGGCCCTTGCAAGGCTGGATATTCTTTTTCACAGAAACCAGAGCTTGTAGGGAGCTGATCAGTAAACCTCTTCTTGAGTTTACTCTCTGGCTGCCCCTCACTGACGTCTTCCTCTTCTCTCAAAGTCAAGTTCTCAGACTGAGCAGAAGAGTCAGAAAGAGGGTCTCTCACCTCGTCACACACATGAGTTGAAAGGGAAGGAAATACTGTCCCCTTTGGTCCTGCCAATCTTCTAGGAGGTTTATGATAAGACTTGAGGCAAAATAATATCCTTCCTCTCTGTCAAGCCCAAGCCGAGTGGAAACTTGTCAAGATTTCCTATTGAAACATGATTTCCCCCCAGACTATTCTTACTTAAATTCAGAACATTCTTTCTAAGGCCTTGCAGAGACTTCCTCCCCCGGCTCATGTGAGGAAAACTGTCTTGAGACAGGCTAATTTCTGCAGCCAATTTTCACCTTCAAACGTCTCAGCAAATCTGGCCAATTATTTTTTTTAATAACCCCGTCATTCATTCACCTTTACTAGTAAGGTCACATGCCTGTTGAGAAGTCTCCTCAAATTTCTGTATATAGAAATCTCTGATGGAGCCAACCACCCATGGGCGACCATCAGTACAGCCACCAACACAATTTCTCTAAGACAGACTTTGTGTTTCTAGATATAAAGAGGAAATATTAAATATAGGTGGGTTTTTGCTTGTTTTAGGCCATTATTTTTGGTAACAGTAAACATTTTCTTGAATTTCAACATCAGTTACATAACTTGCAAATACCACATCATGACATTTATTGGTGAAATCTGCTGACTCGTCAACTTGGATAGAGACCCTATTGTATTTCAGTTTATTACACAAACCTCTTTATCATCAAGTGACATGTCATCGGTGTCTTGACCAATAAAATGGCCTGAAAGTGGGACCTTTTCAATTTCTCCTCCTACATCTTGCCCTACCACTTTACTCATTTTAATTTTACTAGCATTATTAGGTTTTCACCAACGGTGTGACTTTCTTTTTGGGGGTCAATAAGTTCTACTATTAAGTAATTTTTTTCTCCCTGGACCCAAATGTGACTTTTTAAACCAAAGGTTTACCCTGTTTGTTTTGAGATCCCAATAGCCATTTAAAATCACCAGCACCTTTCCATGTCAAAGGGCTGTGATTTATAGTTCGAAGTCATATTTTGCTGAAGCTATCATTGCATTTGTGAGTCATTTGCCGAAGACCCTGCACAGTGGAATAGGACAGCATAGATCACCAACGTATAAATCCATGGATGAGTAGCTTTCACCATAAAGAGGGACTTCTATGGTATGGCACTGTTGCAATAGTGCGGTGAAGTGACTCAAAAGATCGGAATTCACCATTACTAACCTTATCAGAATTGTCCATACCTGTAAGACTGGAAAAGTTCACATGGAAAAACAAACATGAAGAAGAGCCAGGGAACACTAAAAAGGGAAAGTGTTAAAGGGAATGAGCCCTATCACATGTTGGAACATACTATAAAGACAGTGTAACTAAAACAACACAGGGCTGACACACGAATCTACAAACAGACCAATGGAATATAATTGGAAACCCAGAAATAGAATCAAGTACATTTGGAAATTTAGTATATGATAAAGGTGGCCTCTCAAATCATTGGTACAAAGATTGGACTTTTTAGTAAATAGTGCTGGATAACTAAGTAGTCAAGAGGTTGGGCTTACAGAAACAAGATGAGAAGAAGCCCTCCGTAGAGCCAGGAAGAGCTGGCTGGTGCTGTGCCTCTGAGAGGGTTCATGGCACAAAGGAAGCTGGAGGCTGAAACCTACTGCCAGGGTGACTTTGACGGGAAGAGCAAGAAATAAGTTCTCCCTTTCACCTTCCAATCTCCTCTGCAAAGCCAGCTGGTAGAGGAGGAAATGGAGTGAGCAAAGTCCCAGCAGCAGCATCACAGAGCAGAGTATCAGAAGGTGGGTTTGGAGCTGAGCTTACTGGCCAGAAACATGTAAATGCTGAGTCCTTGTTTAGTTAGCGTGCAGCATCCTATAACTCTATTGAGAGGAAGAGCGAGGGCAAATGAAGACAGGATGGGATAACACTCGAAATCTTCATGTTCTTAATAAAACGATAAGGGAATATTCAAAAGTGATGTCAAAAATAGAAATATAAACACAACACTTACAAAAACAATACGAAACAGCTAAAAAATGTTTAAGGAATGGGATGTGGGTGGGGAAGAGAGGGAGAAGTGGTTAGCTTTTTAAATTATAGACACATTTGACTTTAATTTTTAAAAAATTAAAACGAATGAATGGAGAGGGGAAAAGTTCAGATCTATGGGGGCATTTATAGTTTGGAAAAATAAATGTAATGCTGTAAGATCAATAAAATAAGGTTTCCATTGGGAAAGTAAATTGGAAAACTATCATTTGGATAATACAGACTACCAAAAGCAAAACTGGAAAATCCTTTTTGTTGTTGAATCCTGTGAGAGATGAAGAAATTAGATTGTGGGACTCATAAGGGTAGATTGTGTGTCTGTTTTATTCACCAATTAGGCCCATATTTTATGGCCTAATAGATGAAAAATTGAACAGAATAGCTCACAACAGAAAGAGCAGGTGCTCACTCCTGCATTGACCACAAAGAACTTTGAGGGCTTACCAAGTAAAAATAACACCAGTCCTAGGCCCACGTTGCTGGTTTCAGACAGGTAAGTAGAGCCTCACAATGCCACGTCATTCGGGCTATTTCAATGATAAGGACAAAAAAATTGTAACCCATAGAAGGTAGAGAATCTCACTCTGCCTGGGAATGGCTGAAGATGACCTTAGTGTTGAGGGGCCATTGTTGGCCTGATTTTTAAAGGAAGTCTAAGAGTTTACCAGATAAGGAAAACAGGGGAAAGGAGTAGGAGAGGACACAGAGAGGTAACCAGGGGAGAGTCCAATGTCCTGTGGTGATGGAGCAGACGGTCTGATGAGATGCCTGGTGGGCAATAAGATGGAGAGGGAGGTGGATTGCCAAGTCTGAGCTTATTGGATCTTATTCCTTGGACACTGGAGAGCAAACAGAGGCAAAAATATCCCTTAGTCGCGTTTTAATTTGAGGGAAGATCATTCTGATGGCAGTGTGGAAGAAGTACCCAAAGCAAAAGAGAACAGACACAAGGCACCAGAAATAACAATACCAAGAAGAGAGCTAATGGGCCTTTGATACTTATAATGTGCTCAGCTCTGTGCTCAGGCTCTGCCTGCACTATCTCACTTAATCCTGAATATTACTCTGTGAAGTGAGGTGGGGTTTTTTTATCCCAATTGTATAGACAGGGATGCTGAAAAGTAAGAGTCTGGGCTTTCACTGAAGAAAAAAAAAATGTTCCCTAACCTGGAGGCCTCCGATTCCTTTTCTTCCTGGGCAGGAACCAGTCCACACATGGGGCTGGCCTGATTCCAGCAGGTGTGATCACCTGGCAGAACAGGAAGCATTTGGGCAGGAACCAGGGCAGTTCCCGACAAGTGCAGGATGACATTTGTTGAGAGGGAAGTAAGGTCAATGCCTAAATATGGTTATTAAAGAGAAGTTCAGGAACATGATGTCAGAAGACATCCAACCAGTCTCCCATTTCCAGTTCTCTCCAAGGCCTGTCCACTCTAGCCCTGGGTGACTTCATCTTGCCATTAAGAGTTATTAATCATGCCTCCCCTCAATAAGTGACCATTTGTTACCCCAGAATGATATGTGCACACGACATGTTCAATGTTATTTTCCTTTGCCCACTCCCCTTTTCACTGAAATCCCCTCCTCTTGTCACCATATGGCCACTCTCCTATTTAATGAACTCAACATTCTCTGACCTTTGCAAAGTGTCTTCTCCACATTTCAATAATGGCTTCATCTACTCAACCATTGGCCAAGTGAGAAGTCTCAATATCATTGCCAGCCTCCTCTTCTCCTTCTCCATACTTAGTTCTCAAGTTCCATCTTGACCCTAATTCTTGATGCTTTCGCAACCATTTTCTCTTCTCATCTGACCATCTCGGACTTACTTGGTCATGTAAAGAGCCTTCTATGGTTGTCCAAACACCGGTCTTGCCCTCACCAAAATAGCCCCTCACAGCCTCTGTTATAGGTTTAATTGTATCCCCCAAAATATGTTGAAGTCCCAACCCCCAGAACTTGTGAATGTGACCTTATTTGGAATTAGGGTCTTTGCAGAGGATCAAGTTAAGATGAGGTCAATAGGGCAGGTCCTAATCCAATATGACCGCATCCTATAAAAAGGGGCAATTTGGACACAGAGTCAGACATGCACACAGGGAGAATGTCACGTGAAAAATGAAGGCGGAGATGTGCCTATAAGCCAAGGAACAGCAAAGATTACCAGCAAATCACCAGAAGCTAGAGGAAAGGCATGGAACACCTTCTCTCCCATCCCCTCAGAAGGAACCAACCCTGCTGACACCTTGATCTCAAACTTCTAGCCTCCAGGACTGTGAGGATGAAATCCAGTTGCTTAAGCCTCTCAGTTTGTGGTACTTTATTATGGCAGCCCTGGCAAACTAACACAGCCGCCAAGGCTTTTTTACAAATGCCCGTCTGCTCACACCAGTCTCTGCTTAAAATCCTTCCACAATAATGAAAAGAATGGGCTCTATTTATCAAGCACCTGCTGAGGGCGAGGTGCTCCATCTCTATTATAGCTAATCCTTAAGCTTCCTTTGAAACAAGACATTACCATTTGTGATTTTGCCGTTGAAGAAAAGCGATCTTCTAAAAAGCTGTCGCTTGCCCACGTTCCCATAGGTAGTAAGCAGAAGAACTGAATTTTGACTCTTGATCTCTTTGAGTCCTAAAGTTACACTGGCATTGAGTGTTACATCATAACAGGGAGCAGCCAAACAGTAAATATTTTAGGCTTTGCAGGATGTATGGTCTGTGTTGTGACTGCTCAATTCTGCCAGTCATATCCTGAAAGCAGCCCTAGACAATATGTAAATGAATGGGCATAAATGTGTTCCCATAAATCTTTACTTACAAAAACAAGATGCGGATCAGATTAGGGTATCTGACTTTAGTTTGCCAATGCTTGTCCTACAACATTGTCTTTTGGCAACAATCTACGCTCTTTGATAAAATAATTCTTAATATTCATGGTGTGCTTGCCTTTTGCCAGTATTTGTGCATGAATTAATTTATTTAAATTTCCACTATTACCTCTATTTTAGAGGTTATGAATTTTCCAAGATCACACAAATAGTGTGTCAGAGCCAGGATTCTAGGTTGGGTGGTCAAGTTCCAAAGTCCATGATCTCACTCATTGTCTACAAGGGCCTTCCCACCTGCCCATCTACATATCCCAGCACGTTCTTCCACCCTCTGCCTACTTCCTTATTCAATACCTGTCCTTCTTTCAGCCATTCCACAGTGAAGAAGGGGAAATAAAGGAAGGAGCTTGAGCTAGCCCTGCCTGCCTGCTCTGCAATGTACATTTGGCCAAGGCCAAAGCCCTGGACTGCCCGGAGTCCTTGCTGTCAGTGGGGATGGGAAATGCAGAGCACGGAGTAGGCACCTACTTCCTTCACCTGGTGGTTGTGAGAATCTAGGGAGATTACATGCAGTATTTGAAATAAAAGTCCCAACATTGCCGGGCAAATTGCCTAGGCTTGCTTTAAAGGCACTCTTATCATTAGCCTCCCAACAGCTATGCTCTCCTGTGTTGTTTTTTTTTTTAACTAACAGAACCTCAGTTTAGTTTGGGATTGCAGCTAGAGGTGACCTTCAAATCCAATTCTGGCCAGCGATACATAAATGGAAGTCTATAGGGGGTATACAGGAAAGATGTGTTTTTCTGATATAAATAAGTATGCTTTTTTTCTTGGTAGTTTTCTTCTCCTTTCCTCCTGGAATGGGGCCAAAGGACTGGAAATAGATCAGCCATCTCACAGCCATGAGGATGAATGCTCTTAACTAAAGCTGGGGGAGGGAAAAACAGAATCCTGGGGCACCGATGGAATCGCGCAACCGCTAAACCCTACTGCACACTCCCTACTTCCCAAGGTTTGGTTGTGGGAGAAAACTAACCCTTTCTTTGGTAAATCAATATAGGTGGGTTTCTGATACTTGTGGACTTAAGCCTTCCTAACCGATAGAAATGGTCAGAATACCAGACACAACTAGAACAGAACATAATAGATGTTTGATGAATGAATCAATAAGCAAATGACTGTGTTGCCTTAGCAAAATAATAATAATAATAATAATAATAATAATATTTATAGCTATCACTCACTTGCTAAGCACCTACTATGTGCCCTGCATTCTCTCAGCAAACTTCACAACTGTCAGGTATTGATATTGCCATTTCCATATCACAGATCTGGAGCTAAACTCAAGGAGCCTGAGCTAGCTTGCTCAGGGAGTCACAGCCAGCATGTGATGGAGCTAG